CTTGCTCCTAGTAGCGATACCAGGAGCCCCTAGCAGCTTCTTGTTCCCAGTAGTAAGGCCAGGAGCCCCTAGCAGCGTCCTTGCTCCTAGTAGCGATGCCAGGAGCCCCTAGCAGCTTCTTGTTCCCAGTAGTAAGGCCAGGAGCCCCTAGTAGCGTCCTTGCTCCTAGTAGCGATGCCAGGAGCCCCTAGTAGCTTCTTGTTCCCAGTAGTAAGGCCAGGAGCCCCTAGTAGCGTCCTTGCTCCTAGTAGCGATGCCAGGAGCCCCTAGTAGCTTCTTGTTCCTAGTAGTTCCAAGTAGTAAGGTCAGGAGGCCCTAGTAGCGTCCTTCCTCCTAGTAGCAATGCCAGGAGCCCCTAGTAGCTTCTTGTTCCTAGTAGTAAGGTCAGGAGGCCCTAGTAACGTTCTTGCTCCTAGTAGCTATGCCCTAGTAGCGTCTTGTTCCTAGTAGTAAATCCAGGAGACTAGTAGCAGCCTTGCTCCTAGTAGCGATGCCAGGAGCCCCTAGTAGCTTCTTGTTCCTAGTAGTAAGGCCATGCCAGGAGCCCCTAGCAGCTTCTTGTTCCTGGTAGTATGGCCAGGAGCCCATAGTAGCGTCCTTGCTCCTAGTAGCGATGCCAGGAGCGATTAGCAGCTTTTCGTTCCTAGTAGTACGGCCAGGAGCCCCTAGTAGTGTCCTTGCTCCTAGCAGCGATGCCAGGAGCCCCTAGCAGCTTGTTGTTCCTAGTAAGGCCAGTAGCGTCCTTGCTCCCAGTAGCTTCTTGTTCCTAGTAGTAAGGCCAGGAGCCCCTAGTAGCGTCCTTGCTTATAGCAGCGATGCCAGGAGCCTCTAGCAGCTTCTTGTTCCTAGTAGTAAGGCCAGGAGCCCCTAGTAGCGTCCTTGCTCCTAGTAGCGATGCCAGGAGCCCCTAGCAGCTTCTTGTTCCCAGTAGTAAGGCCAGGAGCCCCTAGTAGCGTCGTTGCTCCTAGTAGCGATGCCAGGAGCCCCTAGTATTTTCCCATGGATGTATCAGGTGATGATTTCAGGAATCCAGCTCTCCCACTTTTCCAGGTCCAATTTCCGGCTGGTCCTCCCGTTGAAAAACCCGGTGTCTCTCATGACCTGTGCTGTCGCCGCGGCCATGCGAAGATATGCGAGCCATGCCACGTCACGTCGACCGGCCACCTCCAGCATCGGCCGCTCAAACCGTTGATGGTCGGCCGCTCCGTTGAGTTCAGTTCTTCAAAGAAGCCAAGGTGTGAGACTTGGAGGCCATCGCTACTCGGTAACAAGGGCATCGCTACGAGTAACAAGTGCATTTCTACTAGTAGCTAGAAGCTACTAGGTTGGAGGCCACTGCAAGTAGGTTGGAGGCCAAGGTGAGACTTGCTTTTGAGACAAGCTGGAGTAAGCCGGGAGAGGTGGAAACATGCAACCGTTCCGGTGCTTTGGTGCCTCGGAAATATCTGGTTCTGGGGGGCAGGGCCAGTGTCCAGGACAGTTCAACTACAACTCAAAACACTACACTGATTTGAACTCTGCATGTGAAGAAGTTCTATCTGGGATCAGTGACTTGACCCAGCTCGGTTTCATCACACGAGCGCACCAGGAAAAAAGAAGGCCCAATCCCTTCTCGCCGCAAGAGCCGGCAGCCAGGAATTTGCGCTCGGATGGACCGAGCACAGTTCTGGCAGACTGCGGAGTTGTGGCGGGCCACTCTGTCGAATCAAACACATCGAGTCGAGGCTTCACGGAAGCCGAAGAGCCTCGGAATGTTCATCTCCACAGCTTCGAAGCCGAAGATCTGTACAAGGAAATGTGTCCTCACGTCTGCACGGTGGACAAGTCTCCTGCCAGTGATGTTACTTGACGATGTGACTCTCCCATGGAATTACAGTCCACTTGTCCACTTGCCCCTGGGGCAAGTTCGCCGCGCAGAAATGAACAGTATATAAAGAGATTTAATGGTCTTTGCAAGAGGCTGCTGATGTATTTCTTTGCTGTCCTAGCTTTGGGAATGAGAAATTGCAACAGGATCGGCCTCAACTGCCTAGTCGACACCACAGGTTACTCTGACGGAACAGCGCCTCCAGGGCTGCTTGCCCTCGGCCAAATAGACCCCTAAATGTCAGAGTCTTCAATAAAGTTGATTCGGCCTCTCCGAACGTGAAGGACAAATCCAACGTCATACAAAATGTCAGGCAGTTCTAGATGTGAGCTATTCCAAAGACACTGGATTCCGAAACCAGCTCACTTCGCCGGACCCGCAGTGTCAAAGAACGCGTTGCCGCCAAAATCACACCGCTTCGCCGGACACGTCGGTGCCGTCGGATCCCAACGACCGTGTCGGGTGGAGATCCGGTCGACTGCTTCGCAGCCAGGGAACTGGTGCCCAAAAACGCTTCCAAGGAAAAGAAGATACACTAAGATTGATTGAAGTGCTGTTCCTCCAGTCATTGGAAGGTTTCGAGCTAAAGAGCTGCATGAGGCAGTAGCGAAGATTATTTGAAAGCTTGGCAACATTCACATGAGGCACAAGCTCTTTTCGCATTGCCCATGCGACGCGCATGCACAACACAGAATGGCCGTCTCACAGGCGCCCGTTCACCTTCCTGTCTGGTGCCGTTTCACCAGCCCTTGTGGTGTTTCACGCCGCTACAAGCTCACCAGGTATGGGTAGCTCTCCAAGAGGCCAATCTTACACCTCGTGGATCTCCGAACTTCGCCTCAAAAGAACGGGACCGGCATTCCAAAAAGCAGGTGGCCAGGAATTCCTATGTTGGTGGACAGGTCTCTGTATAATTCTATATTCAGCATGTAAACAAAGAACCTTGTATTTGCATTCCGTGCTTTCCCTCTTTCCCTAAAACTCGTTGTGATACTTTGCGTTAAATCTGTTCTAAAGATATCTTAAAGATACTGTTTGTGAATCTGGGTGAACATTGCATTGTTAGATGCCTGTTAAGTGATTTGTCTGTAAAGGCAAAAGCAGTGGGGGCGACTTGTGTTTGCAAACCCCAACCCATTCTGCGAAACCCCAACTCAGACAAAGCCTGGACAATTCCCGGACAAGCAGGGCCCACAGCAGCATGGCCCAGGAAACAGAGACCCGGACACGGCTTGGACAAGTCGGCGGCGCCAGGCCCGGACAGGCCCAGGACAAGGCGGTGAAGAAAGGGCACACACCGTGGCCACGGCTATCGTGGGCAGCCCGTTTCTTCCCAAAAAGAGAACCAACTGTAAACTTTTGGGGGAACAGAAAAACACCGTTCGCGCGGGCTGCTGTTGAAACTCTTCTCCGACCGCTCAAAGGCTGGCACGACAGCAGGGAGTCAAAACAAGAAGGACCAAGTTGGATGCCATGCAGCCATACCAACCTTGGGTCCCAAAAAAAGGTCTTTTGTGGGCACGCCCCTGTGGGCTAGTTTGATCAAGCTTCCAGCCGAGTTGATGGGTGGAAACTACACGTGCACGCCAGGTCCATAGCGACGATCTCGATGTGGCCGGCAGGAGTTTCAGGGGCCCTGGCCACCCGGGGCACCCCGCTTCCTCTCTAATTCGTCCCTACATAACTGTTTCTTCCCCAAGCTTGCAAAGAGAGTGGCAAACTTGGAAAGTAGGAATTGTATTGGGTGTCATAGATGCGTGCAGGTGCTAAGGGCTAAAAGTAGCTTGGAGGACATCGCCAGGTTGGAGGAGCAGCCTAAGGTCCAACGGTCCAACGTCCCAGTGGCAATGTGCAGCTCCAACGACTTCCTCATCTTCCGCGCAGAAGTCGTCAAAGCGTCTGAGGCGGAGCTGCTCCACAAAGGTTTCGAAGGACACGGGATCGTTCTCCACCGCGGTGATGAAGAGCCGAAAAGATTCCTCGCAGACCAAACCGGCAGGTGTTTGTTTAGACCGAACACAAAGATTCCTCGCCTTCTTCGGTCAGCGCGCATCTTTATTCGACAGGCTTTCAACGAAACATGTCTTGAAGCACCAATTTGGAGTTCTCAAATCTCACCAGTACTGTCATTGGAGAATACGCAACTCCATCAAATCAGTAGAGAAAATGCAACTCAATGGTGGCATGGGTCTTCACGAGTTCATCTCATGCACTAAACTCAGACAAAACATCGGTAGGCACCGAGTTTGAGTGCAAAAAAGACACCCCTGACTAGGTCTGTTCCTTTCCGTGCTGCATTTCACTCCAGGTGCCTGATGTGACTTCTTGGGCACACCCTTGGGCACACCTTTGGTCAAGAGCCACCATTGCTCGCCCGCGGGGGGCGCAGACGCGGAAGGCTTCCCGCCCATCTTGGAAACAGCTCTGGAGAAACGGCGGTTACGGGTGTGGTGCGTGGCTTGATGCTCACGGTGAAACAGGTTCATATGCAGACCTCTTGTGGAACCTGGGATGTGTGTTTTTCTGAAAAGAAAAGCTACTGGAACTACTCTGCTCAGTACCTGTCTCTGGAAAATGGGCGGCCGCGTCTTACAGGTGTCCGCGAACGGGACCAGCTCCCGGACCCTGCGCCGTGCGGTGTTTTCCCTGCCTTCATCTACCAAGCTCTTCGCCCAACTGTCCGGATGCTCAATGATCACCTACAAGTCTTTGACCGTCTTTGACCCCAGTTGGTCGAAAAATATGAAATGACCACACTGAAACACTGCCACCGTTTTCGCGAAACTGGGTGCGTCTCGTTTCACAGAGCTTCATGATGTCCGAAAGCGAACAGGCCCGACTCACATCAAACACCGTCTCAACACTGCGGGCCCTAACCGAATCGTGCGTGAAAATATGGCGTTCCACATCGCTGCCCAGTCACGCTCTTCACCCCCAGCTGCATCGCCCGCTCATAGATGAAGCGCTTCCCGGCATAACCAGCGGTGAAGAAGACGATGGTGGCACCCGCCAGGAGCTTCCTGTGCGCTGCCCGTGCCGGTCGAGCGAGCGATGGTGCCAGTCTTAGAGCGAGTCGTTGGCTTCGTGGGGTTCTCCACGACTTATTAGGAGATGTGATTGGATGTGATCTTCCAAGAGAGACAAGCCAGGCAATGGGACCAATTGGTGAGTTCCTCCTTTGGGAATGGACCAATGGGTTGGAAGCTTCCAAGGAAGCGGAAGATGGCCTGAGAAATGAGGCAAATGTCGTTTGAGCTGGCGTGTTACACGATCAGCATAGACCTGAATAACCTGGTGCACCATGTACCTTAGACACAACCATATGCAGGCCACCTGAACAGCAGGTCGTGCAGGTGCACCATGTGCAGATGAGCCAAGTACCTTTTCGCTGTGAACGATTCCTACACCCGTCTTTCCTACCCGTCCTTCATCTTCAGAGGCGATCCACCTCCAGTTCAGCGATCCACCGAAACGACGATCCACAAACGATCCACAGGAATCCAGGCTTTTTGACCTTCCAACCTCCCAACAGTCCCACCCACCGTCGCCTCCGAAGCTTTTGACCTTCCTGACTTTTGGCCTCCACCAACCTAGGCCGCTGAAGCCACTGACAGACTGGTGGAGCATCCCAGTGGGTGAGGCTTATAAGCGAGATCGTAATTAATACCAAAAAAGAAAGCTCTCAAAACCCTGACGGATTTAAACACTGCTTTGTGACTGACTGACCTTTTGATCATCTAAAAATAGAACACATCTGACAGAAAGAAAAAGCAAAAAAGATTAATAGTCAGAGTCAAAGAAATCTATACCATCTGACTCTTTCTATATAACTCTCTCTCTCTCTCACTCTCCAACACCGTCTACCGTTGATGTTCGTCGAATGAGGCCCCGAATCTCCAAATGTGAGAGGCTTCACCAATTTCTGAAAGGCTGCTTATACCAGCATGTGAGAAAAAAAACGCATAGTTAGACCCCAAGATCTAGAGCTTAAGTCGTTCCTAAGATCTAGAGACAACCCTAACAGTCATGTAAACTGATGAATTTTCATAACCCTCCAACCTCTTCGAACGTCCAACGTCCGGTTTGCTCGTCCTGGGCTCGGTTGATGAATCGTCTGGGCTCAGGCGCTCCGCTGGGATCCGGTTGAGCATCTCGAAGGTCGCCGTGGGCTGGAGCACCCGCAGCACCCGCTCGCGCTCGCTCAAGGTCAGTGCGCGCGGCAGGGAGCCCGGATAAGAATACCTCGGAAGGATTGACACAAATGATGAAGAACAATGGCGTTGAAGCATGTATGTGTTATATGTTTATTCTTTGGAGACTGCAATTTAAAGGAGTCCTATTCTGTTCACAGCAAAGCCGTGGGGCAAACTAGGGATAAAACATATACGTTCAAGATCCACCTTCAAAAGTGGAGAACATCTCTTGACGATCTCAGTATTCTCTCCACACGGAACGATACTGAGAAGGCGTGTTGATCGTCGGTGAGAAAAAAAAAGGTCGACCTCAGCCCAGCAGCAGTTGCTCCGTCAAGAAGTGCCGGGCGCCCTCAATGTGAACGCCATGCGCGGCGTCCATGTCGACCACGCGGTCAAAACGGGAGGCGGCATTGTCCACATCCACCTGGATGATGATTCCCCGGTCTGACCCGTCAAATAGACTGGTCTGACGGTCTGACTGTTAAAAAACGTCGTTGTTCAAAAGCAAACTGTTTCCCTCAAAAAAAGAGAACAAAAAATACGTATCCTCCTTTTCCATTCCCAAGACACTGCCACTGGCCCCAAGGGGTTTCCGGTTTCAGGTCTTTCCTGCGCCAAATCGAAGCCCTACTCGTCCTTTGGGGGCACCGCTATCCGACCCACCACAGTGGCGGCCCTAGAAGCAGCCGAGCCAGACCTGGCTGAGCTAGATACTTGTACTTGTACTATTGGATGGGTCACATTGGTCTCCCAATATGAGCAGCTTGGCGCTTGAATGAGAAAACCTCTCCATGTCGCCGCCGGGCCCGGTTTTCACACGGAACATGTTCAACGACCCGCACCATGTCCAACAGCCATTCGTAGTCCAGATCCAAACCCTCCGGCTCCGCAGAACATTGCAAATGCCTCAGCCGGGTGCAGAACCTGCATGGTGTCCCCGTGTTTTTTCGGGATGAACAGGCAGGACCCACCAAGTGCTTGTGCCTCTAGTCTTGAGAGCGGAAGAAATGATATGAACATCATGTTCATGTCGTCAAAAGTGTCTCATGCCTCATGTGGATATCGAGACGGGGATGCAGGAAGCTGTCACATACAAATGTTCGCTTCAAACCGGTGTCCCAGCGGATTCTGGATCGCCAGGCGCTTTCACTACCTGAAACGAGGGGCGGGGAAGGCAGTGGCGAAGTCCAGCTCCCCTTCCGGAGGCGCTCCTGCGTCACGGTCGGGTCACGTGAAAAAGCAGGTTTTGTCTACTCATGCCTTTCCAGAAGCTACACCAGGTGCAGCATCCAGTTTCCTCACAATGCATGTTTCAATCAGAAGCTTCTTTTCCAAGCTGCTATTTCGGAGTTCCTACGGCCAAAATGCACCCAAATTGGTGCCAGCACCACTTTCCATTCAAGCTTGCAGCTTGACGCCTAACGCAAGTGCCCTTTTTTTCCCCATTCTCCATCCCACGTGGACTCGCCCAAAGCATGCCAAAACCCCCCCCCGCTCCAGGCTGTCCACCGACTCCACCGTCGACTTCCTCGGCGCCGGCTGCGGCGCCAGGAGCTTCGCCCAGCCGCAGCAGCACGTCATCGCAGCGACCCACGGCGGAGCGTGGCCACGACCCCGGTCGTTGGTCGGTCGGTGTGGGGGGTGCGGTGTCGAGTGTTCAAGCTTCTGGGAAGTTGGTCGCTGGTTCGGTGTGTTGGTCGAAGTCGGATCCCTTCAGAGTTTGGCTGGATTTGGCTGGCTTTCTTTTGCTGCTTGCTTCACTCTAAGCCGCTGTCGGGTGGCTCTCGTCGCATCCAACGGCCTTGGGCCAAGGACCCACAACTTGAGAGCCATAGCGGACATGAAAACTCCAGACACGTACGATACACCCTGGAAGACTAACATGGAACCTGAAAACCCCTGGTTGGTAGAGGAAAATAGTCTTCCATGGGACCATTGTCAGGGTCTATGTTAGGTTTCGGGAGTGTAGTTCAGTTTTGGGGCAGGAAGGAACTTCTGAAAGAACTCCTGAGCCCTTTTCCGAAGACGTCACCCTTTGGCCCATGTCACCCACCTCCCTTTGGTTGTTTCCTCTTGTAGTATACTGAGTATACTTGTCACGTCTCACGCTGCATCATTGCAAGACGTACCTCTGACCAGCATGTCCTTTTCAAGTATGAGGCCCCCCACAACAAACAAAACAATCTAAGCTGGGTGTGAGATTGGCAGTCATCCACCTTCTTTCGTCCACTTGCATCATGCTGTTCACTCGGCATCCGGACGGAGTCGTCATGGACCTGAGAACGCCACGCGGGGTTCACCGCGGTGAACCACGTCATGGGCGAGAAGAACCGGTCACCAGCCGCGTGGACCCGTGCGACGCGTGCGACGACGCGTCGTTTGGGGCCGCCGAGCTTGGTCTCGCCTCGGGGAGCCTGACGGAGGGGGAGGATGGGAGGGCACAGAGGGGGAACTGGATAACCGTCAAAAAGGGATGGATCCATCGTAATCCATCCCCAGCTAGACTTACTCTCAGGCCCTGGCTGCTGGTGGACTGAAAACCACTCAGTCTTCGCTCGTCAAAGAATCGGATCTTCGGCAAGAAGGAGACCACTTCTTTGTGACCGACATGTGATCTTCGGGGCGTTGTTGAAAGGGAGGCAAGCACTCAACGCCTTCTTATACCCTAGAAGTCCAAAGTACTATACTACAATATGTTTCCTTAGTGAAGTAAAGGCAACTCTCTTTCAGGTCCCCTTTCGTTAGACCATTTTCAAAAGTAAAATCGTTCCTTTGTCGAATTGGGAACGGTTTTTTCTCTTAACATGGTGACTTGCTATCGCTTCCCTGCAGCTTGTCACCTTCGCTCGTTCCGTCTCCGTCTCCCGCCTGACGGCCCGCCACATCGCCCTGGACCGAGCCCAAGTCCGGTGGTTTTGGGACACCTCGACTCACCTCTATAGGAGTCATTTACAGATACAGAGGAAGGGAAGGTCCTGGTACAAAGGGAATGGTCTAACTAGGGGACCTGAAAGGAATTCTCCTCAGTCTTTGGTATAGTCTTTGGACTTCGTGTGCCTGGATCTTACGACCAAGAAGCATTCTATGCAGCTTTGGTCATTGACCCGGTTTTCTGCGCAAACGGCCGCAAGTCAGCGCAAACGACAAAACGACCACAAATCAGCACAAAACACCCGCACAAAAAAAACAAACGACTACAGAAATCTGCAAAACAAACAAAACAGCCAAAACGACCATAAAACAACACCGACTATAAAAATTAGCCCAGCTGGAGACCCCAATAGCAAGATACAAACCGAGACAAAAAGAAAAATCTGGAAACAGCTGCTGTTTTCAACACATCGACCATCTCTTCCTTGGACACCGTCACAACATGACTGGGACACAATCAAAACATGATCGGGACACCATCACAACATGACCGCGCCACCATCACATGATCGGGACACCATCAAAACATGACCGGACACCGTCACAACATGACTGGGACACAATCAAAACATGACCGGGACACCATCCGCCCACCAGCTCTGACGGTGACCCGACGGCGCCCGTCCGCCTATTAGTTTTGCAAGACCCCATAGCATGGCTATTGGGGAATTGTTGGTAGTTGGAAGGTCCAGGAGGTTATATGACATTGTGTTTTCCCCCTGAATGTTCAGGAACCAATTGCTGCCCGAAGAATGTCCGTTCAAAGACGTCCAACATCGATCGATGAACTGGGCCTTATCTCTCTCCGCACACCCAGCCACACCAAGCACCTCAGGTAGAGCTGGACAGCTTGGAAATTGAACGCTGAAGTGCTCCAGTGAGCAGGAGAAGCACTGTAAATCTTGGCAGCTGGAGCATGTTCTCCTACTATCCAGGATCCTACTCAACACGTTTGCTCCAAAAATATGCATGACATAGAGCAACCGGCTCTCAAGTTGCCAGGAATGGATTTTTGAGAGGGTTGCAGAATCCCAGAAAACATGTCTGCACCAGCAGTTTCAAGGGGTGCTTAATGGACGGGGGGTGCCCATTGTCCACTCACTTAGGGACTAAACACCACCCCTTTGTGACTCCTGGTATACTATCAAAAGCCAGGTGTCACCAGGAAGAACCAACAAATCGAATCCTTTTCATGCCCTGCGAAAGCCTGAACGTTCTCTGAAGTGTTTCAGATGATCGTCGTAAAACTCTGAAGTGCTCAGCTTTCAGCCCCTCCAAAGCTTTCTACATCTTTCTACAGTACTAGTAGCAAGGACGCTACTAGTAGCTTCTGGCATTACTAAGGACGCTACTAGTAACAAGGGCATTTCTACTAGTAGCTAGAAGCTACGCCGGTGAAAGCGCAAATTGCTGGCTCCCCGGCATTCAACATCTTCATCGCAGAGGCCTTGGAAGCTCGGCGCCGCCGGCTCGGAAGCTCGGCAACGACGGTGACGTTCTTGCACCGTGTTCTTCCGCCGGAATCTCCTTCTCATACCAACATTCGGATCTCGGTAAAGATGATCTGTAGTGGAAGGCGCTCCGCTGTTAAATCCGATACACGTGTTTCATGTATATACCAAGCAAAGAGGGTTACAGTAGCAAGTTTGGAGCTTGGCAAAGAGCAAGTTGAGTCATGTGTCTTTTTGGTTGAAAGCCTTAGCACGGAGTCCGTTACGGAGTCTGACCCGGGGTCCTTCGGAGGCGTCCGCCCGGCCCCCTCTGGCGCAGCCCAGCGGCAAGCGCGGCCATCGCTGGGAAAGTCGCAAGAACAGCTCCCCCCCAGAGGTTCGTCGATCACTCTCGCCGGCGCAACAGCCCCTCCAAGCCCCAAAGGATATGGTTGAAGGATTTGGCGCGCGCGACGCGGCGAAGAAACCAATGGCGCCCCTGTTAAAAGTGAAAGGCAACAGGAATGCTATCATTTGAAGACCGAGTTGATGAGGTCCGCACGACCATGACCTCACGAAAGGCATGAAAAACACCGATTGAAATCAATGTGAAATGCATTCCATCCAGTCCGGTCCTCGCGCGGCCCTTGGTGGGACAATGCACTCCGGTCCACGTCCCACCAGTCCGGACCAATGCGAACGAAGCAGAGATCCAGCGTGAGGGTCGGGTACCAAGTGTACCAACTGAGTCGGAAATCAAATCGCCTCAAATGTCAGCTGCTTCAGCGACATCGAAACATATGGGAAAAATCACATCATGAGGAACTTTGCTGGGTCACCAATTCTGGTCTGTGCTTCTGCACGAGAACTTTGCGGGTCAGCCACCGATTGGATGCAAAAATGTCTGGAAAAGGCACGAGGTGGTGGGGCTTTTGGGTCGTTTGGATCATTTTTGGGTGGTTTTGGGCTCGTTTGTCATGTTGTCTTCAATGCGGGTTTTTATGATGTCAAAACGCATAAATGCTCTTCTGCCTATCATAGGTTGCCAAACGGCGAGAAATAGCCCACAATGTCCCACAATGTCCCACTTGTATACAGTAATACGGTCCAAGAATCAGAGCTTCAGACCACCAAGAATCAAACTTCTCTGCGCATCACCCAGAATTTCTTCAAATCATCAGACCCATCGGCCTCACCCACTCCACCACCGCCACCGGACTCCTTCGCATAGTGCCGCACGGCGAACTCGGAATCTTCCGTCGCGTCGGTCAAGGACCGAAAGAGCTCCTCCCACCGGACGGAGAAGGAGAACGGTCGTGGCGGACCCCAACGGGGAGGGACAAATGGATCGAGAAAGCCGGCGTGCCAACGGGGCTGTCTTCTGCCAAATCTTCAGGATTGGATGCACGCCCAATCCATTAGAAAGCTACGTGAGGCAAGATTTAGTATGCCATACGACAGCTGAATCGAATTGAATTGGCCAATCCATTCTCAACACTTTGCTCCCTTGCGACAGGCGGTCTACCTGACCCGGGCCTTGCACTGAGGTCGCGTGATGAAGCCATTGAGGTACCTCGGTCGCCGTCCGTCGCGGCACGCGCAGGTCGTTCATCGCTGCGGCGCTCCCCGATGAGACGAACGAAGGAGTCGCTTCCGAGCGAAAAGCGAGCTTCTTGCTCCGTTCGTAGCGATGCCAGGAGCCCCTAGTAGCGATGGTTTGGCTAGATTCTTGCTCCTAGTAGGGCCAGGAGCCATTTTTGGGCTGGACAGAGGACTCTTTGGAGCGCCAAACACAACCAGTGGAGTTTGGAGCCAAGTGCAATCCAGGCAATCCGATGCCATCTGGCCATTCTGATGAAAATGTAGATCGGAAGACAAATGCAGGAAGGACCCTAGAATCTGCCCAGCATACCGTTGTCAGCAAGTCCCAATCTCAAAATTCAGAGGCCCCACATACGAATGTTTGGTTTCCATTCACCTCACCGAAGCGAGCCACTTCGGTTTCGTTCAACTGCATCTGTCGCAGTTGAGTCCCAGGCCCATTCACCAGGCCGTTCCGCTTGGAGATCTGCCAGGCGGGGAGACTCGGGGGCGGTGGATTTCCAGGTTCAGGCTCTTAAGAGTCTCACGGTGGGACGACATAACACGGAGCAAAGCAGCAACTGTAAGGTTTGCCCTTTCTTACACGTTTGATTTGGTAAACCATGCCATCAGCTGACTCCATTCACTTTCATATGCCGGGCATTCTGGGAGGTTGAAACTCCCCAGAGGAAAGCTTTCTGCTCGCGCATCTGTTTGTACCCATCGAAGATGATCTTCTCCTCAAGTCGATGCAAGACATTTTTTCGATTCTTTCCCATCTGGACCATGAGGCCTCCGTGACTTCGTAGGTGTCTAATCTACAGTTTCTCGGTTTGGAGACGCCTTTACAAACTTGAGAGAGGAGGGGGGTGAACGAAAGGTAGCAGGGAATCAGGCGTAATCCGGGAGGAGGTGAGAGGCCCCCCACTTGTTTGAAGAGAAGTGAGTGAGCGTGATGAAAGAACAACTAATGCACAAACGCTTGACAAAACCTCCAGAAGCTGTAGCGGTCTAGCGGTTTCAATACAGGTTGACGTGCCTTCAAAAGGAGTCACATATTTCTCAAATGCAACTTCGGATTTACATAGTGACGTGCGGCGACCCTTTAAATTGCGTGGCCGCAGGCCATGCTTGCAAACAGGACGTGCTCAAAAACACTGGTGTTTACGAGGTTTCGTTGCCGTCGATCCACAGCCGCGGCAAGGTCTAAGGCCACGCTTGAAGACAGGAGGAGCTGAAAACACTGGTATTTACGGTATTTTGTAGCCGTCGATCCAAAGGCGCACCACGGTTGAGCGCTGGAAAAGCGCAGAAAACCGTGTAAATACCGGCGTTTTCTGCCGGGAAGGTGCACAAAACCCTGTAAATACCATAGTTTTGTGCAATTTTGAAGCCTCCAAAAGCCTCAAAAACCCTTTCTGACAAAATCTTTCCTGGTTTTTGGTCTTTTTTTGGTCATTTTTCTAACCGAGGCGCATCAAAAACCATCGGTTTTTGCGGTGTTTTTTGCCGGACAGCCACAAAAAAACGCTGTAAATTCCATGATTTTTGGTCACTGCTGAAGACTGGAAGAGCTGAAAACACTGATATTTACAGTGTTTTCGAACGGTTGACCCCGAGGCGCGCTAGGGTGGAGTTGAGAGGGGGGGGGGCGGCCCCCCCCCGGCCAGCAAACGAAGATGTCGGGTACCATTTCTCCGAGAGATAGGCTGCAGCTCTGGGTTAATACATTTTTGCTAAAGCAAAAGGAAAACTCAGGTAGCGTAACCGCTACCTTTCGTGAAAACAACACGCAAATCAGTTTCGAGGGCTGGGCGTAAAAACAACTGTCACGTGCTTGAAGACTCTTGATACGTCGCACATGTGTCGCGGAAAACCATACACGCAATGTCAATGTTTGTCCATGTTCAAAAGCATCAGAAACCCACGTCAAAAATTGCCCCCCAAGCTTCTGGGGGGCCCGACCAAGGACCCAGGCGGCAAACTTCGAAGCACGTGGTGGGTCATCCCCTCCTGGATCTTCCAGCTGATCCTCGGGCAGCTCAAAAGGAACGCCGGAAGGGAAACATGGAAGTCTGCACCATAGCATGGTGCAAGACCTCCGGTGGCATCAAGACATGCGCAAGGAGATCGGACATGCAAAGGCCGCAGGCTTCCCCGAACTAAGTGAAGAACCTCTCCACGTCATCATCGATGCTTACCACATAGGTACCCGGCGGGAAGAACTTCCTGCGGCCGCTGCGATGGAACCCACGTCGGCTCACGGGGCCGACCTCGGCGCACGAGCAGATCTGCAAGCCCCGCACCTGCGAGCGAAGGCGCACTTGTCTTCAGCTTTTTGCGAAGCATGTTGCACACAAAACAAGTGAACAGCCCGCGCGTGGTGCATAAGCAAGCTCTTGAAGGAGTACAGGCAGGGGGCCCAGGGGCGTTGTGCGTCCACCTCGCTTTGCCGCAGGATCCGTCGAACTGGTGAGAGTGAGCCTTTCCAAAATGTGGTCCACTCAGTGCATCTTCAGTGGAACCGTGCTTTTGCGCGGGTTGACAACTTGTTTGTTTAATGATGCGTGAGCAAAACCCCGATTGCTTTCGCCAAGTTCTTCGGCTTGAGCGCTTACAACTCTTGGCTTGCGAGGAATATCTTCCCAATCGTATGAACCCTGCCATCCATGCCTCATACAGCCTTTTGCATGTCGGTAGGATTCTGCTCATTGGAAACCAAACGTATGGATTTTCAGTCACGGTCTGCAACTACAGAATCTATAAACTACAATAAGATCAATAAGCCTCCTTCAATGTCTTTCCCATCCATCCTAGTCCATCTTCATACTTCATCCCTCTTCAGACCTGATCGAGCACTCCAGTTCGAATGGACCGAGACGGGACACTCTTGTCACAACAAAAAGACCCCGAAGCCCCATGCATGGGTGTCAGTCCAAAGGATTCGGGAGGGGAGTCTTTCGGAAAAAACAAAAAACAGCAGATGCGTTTTTGAACATCTCAACAGCCGACATCTTTTGACCTCGGGATACCTCGGGTGCCAAAATCATCCGCGGAAGGACGGCCACCAATGAATGCTATTTGGTTGGAGGCCATCGCTAGTAGGTTGGAGGCCATTGCTATTTCGTTGGAGGCCATCGCTATTTCGTTGGAGGCCATCACTAGTAGGTTGGAGGCCATCGCTATTTGATTGGAGGCCAGCGCTATTTTGCTGGAGGCCATTGCTAGTGAGTTGGAGGCCATCGCTATTTCGTTGGAGGCCATCACTAGTAGGTTGGAGGCCATCGCTATTTCGTTGGAGGCCATCACTAGTAGGCTGGAGGCCATTGCTAGTAGGTTGGAGGCCATCACTAGTAGGTTGGAGGCCATTGCTAGTAGGTTGGAGGCCATTGCTAGTAGGTTGGAGGCCATCGCTAGTAGGTTGGAGGCCATTGCTAGTACGTTGGAGGCCATCACTAGTAGATTGGAGGCATTGCTAGTAGGTTGGAGGCCATCGCTATTTCGTTGGAGGCAAAGCTAGTAGACTGGAGGCCATCGCTAGTAGGTTAGAGGCCTTAGCTAGTTGGTTGGAGGCCATCGCTAGTGGGTTGGAGGCCATCGCTATTTCGTTGGAGGCCATCGCTAGTAGGTTGGAGGCCATCGCTATTTCGTTGGAGGCCATCACTAGTAGGTTGGAGGCCATCGCTACTAGGTTGCATCCCCAGTAGGTTGGAGGCCATCGCTATTGGGTTGGAGGCCATCGCTAGTTGGTTGGAGACCATCGCTAGTATTTCCGCGGTACCCTGCAGGCGGGAGCAAGTCCGTCCATCTTTTCCAGCGCTTTCGGTGTGCCGTCCGTCATCCAGGCCCAAAAAACAGATTTGGTCTTTCTCTTTTTGTCTACCATGAAGGTACCAAGAAGAAAGAACCAGAACTGTTCACCTTCTGTGGGTTTATTGGTCCCGTCTGGGTGTCAAGCGACACAGAGCGACACCGTGTCAGTCCAAATCCAACCCGCCCGTCATGATGAAGTTCCGCGAGTTTTTGTTTCCTCAGCTGCACGAAGTGATTGAGGGAATGGTGGCAGGTGAATCGATCAGAGTGATCCTTGTTGAGCTCTGCCACATTATGCACAGCGACACCTTTGTTTGCTGGCTGCCTGATGAAAACTGTACAAGCGAGGAATGTCGAAGAATTAACATTTCGTCAACGGAAAACGAAGACCCTTCGAGTTGGAGTCTTGTTCAATTTGTGATTTCTATAAGTACCACAAAGTACGTCAAAGGTCTGGAAGGTTTGACAAAAAGAAGCCAGTAGGTACCCGTCGAAACATTGAAAATCCAAACTTCACAAAGGCAACAGCTACAAAAATCGAGAAGCTTCCACCGCTATTAGGTTGGAGGCCATCGCTTCTAGGTTGGAGGCCATCCGTAGTAGTTTGGAGGCCATCGCTAGTAGATGGAGGCCAAACTTCTGAAATCTCCCAAAATGGAGAAGTTTCAACTGTAAAGCCCTGGAATCCATCCAGCCCCCATTAACAGGCGACCTTTGTTGATCACCTCCCTTCCTAACCCTTGGCTCGTTTTTCTCACTCCTTCGATCCCTCCGTCCACGTGACGCACCGCGCGGAGCGAGCGCAGGGACCGAGCGCTGGGAGCGATCCAAGCGTCCCAGGACCGAGACTTCGATGCGGACCTTCTCCCACTCGCTGCCCGCCAGGGCTGCACGATACTTGGTCCTCAAGGACTAGGCAGGTGGGGACAAGATGGGCAGAATCATGGGGTGAGGCGAAGGAGATCCAAGAGAGCGAGCGCGGCAAACATGGCGGGGCGAAGACAAGCTCTGACTGAGTCCTCTTTCAAGTCTTACTCTTCATTAAGAAGGTGCTCTTTCATTCTGGTTGCTTCCTGGTTTCTTTTTGGTGTCCTTGTGCTCATGTCGGACCAAAAGCCGCTTTGTTCAGGTGCCTCAAGTGGTGTTCAGGAGCTCGAACAGTCCGGATCAAAGATGATGACTTGGGAGTGGAGAAAAGACCCTCAAGGGGGTGACTTGGAGTAGTTCAACGGTGGGAACCTCGGCCTAATGAGTTTTAAAACGAAAGCGAGCACAGGCGTCCCAACAACATGCCGTGAGTCTCTCACAGCCCGTTTCGCGGCTCCTCTCAGTCTCATTGGCCACAAAGAGTGTGACCCGATGCTTAGGGATCCTCTGGCGAGAGAGCATTCCCAAGGAGTGCATCAAGATGAAGGAGGTCTTGCATTTCTTGAACCTTCTCCTCAGTCACGCATGTCTCGGTGAAAAACAACACGCAATTCTCTTGCCATGAAATTCAAGCCACTCCAAGAGGAGAGGCTTCAAGCCACCTCACCTCTTACTTGATCAAGTACAAATGTTTATAGGGAAACTTCACTTTCCCAAAAAACCTCTCCATCCAAGATCGCATCGCGACATCGCCCGATAAAAAAGTATAATAATAATAAAAAGAAAAAACAAAAACAAAGTAATAAATAAATATAGTAATAAATAAACAGCACGGGCGAACTCGTGCGTATGCCTGCGTATGCCTCACCGAGGGTCTTCTTGCTCATCTGGCACACCGGCATCCAACGTTGATAGGTGGGGATCACCAGTTCGTAGGGCACGGCTTTGGCCTTCGACACCTTCGGACCGGAACATCGGACATCGCGACAGCGGGACGCGACAGCTTGAACGGTGGGACGCGACGGTTCTGGGCTCGGTATCGAGGCTTTTTAAGTGAAACCAGGGGGAGTTCAATGGAATGTTCCATGAAATAGCCTCAGTTGGTCATGAAATTGTCCGTGGCACTGAGCCACACATGAGCATTTCATAGCACGAGGTTAAACATCCAATGGGTTGAACATGGTTCAGCTTACGGCTTTTCTTGATGCTTGGAGTAAGTTGGAACCTGTCATGATTCCCCAGTTGGTTGTTCCATTTGTCGGAACAACGAACAACGAACGCGCCGTGGAAAGCAACTCGTGCGGTCCAGGCACTAAGTGTGGTGCTTCTCTGGCCTTTGGATGCAAATCCTTCGGTTTCACGTCCTGAGAGAAGCCAAAAACGAACGGAAGTGATCATGCCAACCACGCCAGGGACGCTGGGTTTAGGGTTTAGGATCACTGCCGAATTTGTATCACCTGTCCTCCATTTGCATAAGTTTCTCCTCCCACTTCTCCATCTCTTCATCGTCGCTATCCTGGCGCCAGGTGGTCCAAAAAGAAGGTCCAGTTGGTGAAATTGGGAGTGTTTTTGGCCAAATCTTCGGGAGTGTTTTTTGTTGGAGCCCAACCAACGCGGGACTCGACACGACGCCAACCTGATCAGCCTCTCGAGCGAAACTCTCTCGCATGCGTCGACTCCTCATCGTCTGTCGACTCCTCCTCACTCTCATCCTCCAGAGGTGCCTGGAATTTCGGATCGATGGTCTCATCAAACCAGGACGGTCGAGGTTGGACCATTGGACTTCTCTTGGAAACCGCTGGCGCGTGCCGCCCGTGCCTCCATTCTTGCAACCCGTTTCCTTTTCATCGCTGGGGGGCGCTTCATGGCACTGGCCATGTCTGAATGCTCTGAATGCACTTTTGGCAAAGTGCCTCCTGGCGTGGCGTGCCTCGTGGACTGGTTGACCCAGAAAACACTCCAATGGTCGAGGATCGGCTCTGCATCACTGCCTGGGGACTCTGTTTGGCCCACACATCCTGGTGTACCTGAAACCCAAGCGACCCAAGCCCCACAAAACTGCCTGCTAATGGGTTCCAAGGCAGCATATCTTCCTCGAAAGTAGATGAGACATGCAGTGTTCCAAAGTTTCATGTTCGGCTTCGCACATTGCTGTGGGCCAAAGCTGCAGTCGGCGCAGCGAGTCGTCCGAGTCGGGCTTTCACTCAAAATAAATATATAGAATTAAGACAAAGAACATGTTCCATCCAAAGCATGTTGCTTTGATGTCCCGCACAAGTTCTTGCTTGGTGCATTTCCCTTGCAGCACACAGCCCAACAGGGACAAGTACAACTGAGGCAGAAGACTTGCCCTTGATCAAACGTTGGAGGCCAACCGCTAGTAGGGTGGAGGCCATCGCTACTGCAAAGCTGCTGGCCCCACTTCACGGCGGGCACATCGACATGTGGCGAACAAAAGCTGACGCAAAGCCTAAAACAAAAAGATCTCGATTCTCTTCTGCACAGCTTCCAGAACACGTGCACTTCAGCGCTGAAAAAAGGGCCCAGGGCAGTGAATGTCATGTCCAGTCAACTTTACAAGTCCGGAAATAAAAACAGTGTTGCTGAAGCGACTGGGGTTGGTTGACGGGCTTCCTGAAACCTTGCGGTACAAGTCATATGGGACATATGCGTCTATCAAAGGTGACCTCTATGTTCTCACACCACGAGAACAGCGATGTGACCACGTCGCATCTGGAAAGCACCTCCACAGGACCCGCTGTCATGTCCACAAGGTTTACCGGTCTATTTGTCAACGGTTTAGTGGTCAAAAACCGGGACTCACTCGACTGGTTGGAGAACATGTACATGTCTGATCGGAGTCACAAATTCGATTGTGGCAAAGACAAGTTCGCAAAAGCAGATTCGCAAAACTCCTTCTTTTGGCCCCAGCAGCATTTGCCACACGTTTTCGAGCCACACGTCTTGGAACACCTTGCAGCGCGTGTGGCAGAAGGTTGCTGGAAGCAGATTTCAAGCTGTTCTTCGTGCATCTGATCTGTCTTGATAAGACAACATTCCAATGGTTGCTTGGTCTTAAGATGTTTGTTGAACGCAACGTGTGTTTTATGGGTGCTTCAAACACGTCTTTTGAGACAAAAGCAGGATATGTCATGTCCTTCCTGCGCGGCGGTCGGACGACGTCAGGAGCAGATCGACAGGTGTTGCAAGGAATTCGGTCGTTCAACATGGAAGATACCACAAGGGCCCTTAGAAGGGCCCTTAGCCATACACCCCTGATATACCATTGATGACATCAGTCTGGCACTTTTTTGGGATTGTTCTTTCTAAGGACCTAGTGACCAGGACAAGCATCTACAGTGCCTAGCATGCGCCAAACAGGTGATTGATGCGTCCAGTCACAGCTTTCCAACGATCCGAAAATCGCAGGCTCTCACCCGGCTGGATTCTTGCTGGAAGAAACTCCAATGGTTCTCACCAGCGAAAGCCCCATGGTTGAGAATCTCATTGTAAGCCAGAGAGGAGATGAACGAAAGACACGATCTTCAGTTTTCCAGTCGCCCAGAACAAATGCGGGGAAAGGGAACGCTAGGAGAATCCTCTATGGTGCAAGAATCCTCTTAAAAGGCTCCATCTTCAGAGCATTCTCTAAAAGTCGGCGCTTTTGAAAGATGTGGAGCTCGCAGAAACCAGTTCAATTGGCACAAGTGTGGAGCTCAGCCATTGGCCATGGCCATTTCAAGACGTTTTCTTCGGCTCAGCAACTGCTCCTGATCTTTCGACGTCTCTCCCGCGGGTTCCACGGGCTCGCCAGAGTCGGACGGTGGAAGGTCTACCAGTACCTGGGTGGGGCGACGGCGGGTCGACGACCGGCGCCTGGTCGACGACCGGTGTCGAAACGTCTAAGCGCAAGGCTTTGGTCCAACCATGAGGTAGTGCCTGAGGACGAGCGTGTTACGAACACGAACAGAAAACCTCGGGTCTGGAGAGGTCTGGAGACCCAAATTAGAGATGAAAAAGGGATGATATATGGCCATGTTAGAGGGGAGCCTGACCTTCCTTCTTCATCTCATTTGTCTTCCTTTCGAGATGCAATGGACCAAAAAGATCAGTGTAGATATGCGCTTGTGAAGCTGCGCTGACCCCACCTAAAGCAATCTTCGATTTGTGACCGCATCTAAACTAGGGCTGCTGGGAGCACAGAAGAGCAACGTTCCCAGCAGGACTGGTATACTAGCGATGGCATCCAACCTAGTAGCTTCTTGGCTTCTAGCTAGTAGTAATGGCCTCCACCCTAGTAGCGATGGCCTCCACCCGGACTGGTGATCTCTGGTGATCTTGAAGACGTGGTTTATTCGGCCACCGAGGCCGAACCCTCTCCGAGGCGACCGACTGCCAAGCAGAGGCCCTGGCGGAGATGGTCCAAGTAGCAGCACTGATATGTGAATTCGCTTTCGATTGAAGAAAGCATGTTATAGTGCATCCCAGGGCTTTTCACGGGGATCAACTGTGAAAGACTCTGTACCTACGATTTTCTGTATGGTCCTTGTAGCTGCTGCGTAAGGAGGTTCCAGCTTTCTTGGCGCTCAGCTTCGTTGCAGCAAATCTGCAGGGCTTGGTAATGCTAAGGTTGCTAAAGCTAGGGCCAGGGGCGGCATCATGAAGTTTCTTGGACTCTGGGCGATTGCGTTTCATTGTAGCATTAGTTCATACATGTTCATATTGATCCCTTGGGCCTATTAATAGGCACACCTGACAGGGCCCTGGTATGATTCTACCTTCACGATCCACTGCTTCGAAAACACCCTCAGCCTCAACCAGGTGCTTTCGAGGACCATAAGGCCCAAAGGAGCAAAGATCGTCCCAATGACCTTGGGTTGGGAAGCTGCTCAGATTCACAAGGTCAGTCGCGGGCTTTTGTTAAAATGGACTTGTGAGCTACTCTTCGTGAGCTACTCTTCGTCAACCAACACATGGTCAGGAAAAACCGCCGCCCGGGCGATCAGTTCAACCGCTGGTGGTCCATGGTTCGCAGCTTCGAGCGTTTGAACGCACACGAGTGCTCCGTCTGCGGACGGCACATGTGGCCGACCCGGTGTTCCACGAAACCTCGACTTTAGAGGCATCTGAGTCAGTACCAGGCTGCTTGTCCGGCTTCTCGACAGAACACTCGCAAGTTGCCGACATCTGTTATCACAGCTTCTGGACGTTTTATGTTCAGATGTTGTCTTATGTTTTCTTGGCCAAACTTGAGATGCCGAATGCTTGAGCCTGAGCAGGTAATTCGGGAAGAATCAGGGCAAGCGACCAGCGAGGTTGCTCAAATCCGTTTGTTCCACACCTCACTTCACCTATGTCACAAACATCCTCCGAGCAAGTTCTTGCCCAAGGGCCTGTGTGCTCTCCCGAGGTGTTCAGGGGAGAGCACAAGCCGCTGCTACTGGGATCTCGATGACAAGTTGTGTCTCTGAAAGTGAAGCGATGAATCCGCATCAATGGCGGCTTCCAACCCTTGCTCTTCTTTGGAGTATGACAGGATTCACCTGTCTCGAGATCCACATCCTGGCTACATGGTGGCTTACCCTCTTCGAATCTCTTTAAGGTAATCTTGTGCGAAAAAGTCACAAAGACTTAAAACCCAGCCCTTCCAATCATCCCTCAACGAGTCTCAGAACTTACACCACTCAGCCCGGCTCATCCTGGAGAACACGAGAACCAATGAAACATCATGAAACTACCTAGCCCTACCCGACATGAGACCACGCCTGAATACCCGAGGTCGCTTCCACCAGCATCCGGCTCATCCGCTCCCTCTCAGAACCCTCCAGCGGTCACCGGCCGAAAGGCGGGTACCGGCATCCACTCGTTGCGCGACGACAGGCTCGATGAGGCGCTGCTGGGCCGCGAGGACGCGGACGGCGGGCGCACCAGCGGGTCCAAGTGGCGGATGCCGCGCTGTGCGAAGACACGCTCCAAGCTGCTGAAGCGCCGGGGGTTATGGATGTCCACACCTAGGACACGAACCGAACGGGGCGCTCCTGGCATGACTAGGAACAAGAAGCTACTAGGGGCTCCTGGCCTTACTACTAGGAACAAGAAGCTACTAGGGGCTCCTGGCCTTACTACTAGGAGCAAGGACGCTACTAGGGGCTCCTGGCATGACTAGGAACAAGAAGCTACTAGAAGCAAAGGGCATTGCTACTAGGAGCGATCGGACGCTTTCGAAGCGATCGCTTCGCTCTCCAGCTGGGAATCCGAAGAAGAAGGGGGCGAGGTGTTTTGGGGGAGGATCCGAAGCTCGATCGGGTGGGATATGTAATGAAATGTGAGATTTGGAGATGATTGATTTGATGAAATAGCAAAAACTGGATGGGGGTTCCAGCCGGGCCTCGTCCAAAGGTCGCTTCCCATGCTTGTCTCTCTTCTTGCCCACCGAGCGCGAGTGAAATGACACGGTGTTGTTGCCCACCGCGTTCGTAGGCAGGAGAGGGTACCACGAACTCAAACTCAAACAGGAAAAGTAGATCGCATGCCATTGCTAGCCGCTTGCAGACACCACGACCCAAAACAATATGACCCAAGACACCCAACGTCCAAAAGCAAACCAGAAAGAAGCCAAGCTATTCCTTTTGTGATGTCAATCCCCCACTCCGACCACCCAACTGAAGCGCGTTCTTTTGCGCTGAAGCGCGTTCTCACTATCATTCACTATCTAACAGACGCTCCCCCCAAACAAAGTCCTCTTCGTCTTCTTTTCTTAAAAGACATCAACACCCCCCTCCATCCCCCCACAACCTCCAGCTCGCAACTCGCTTGCTCCAAGGCGCAGTCTTTGGGATCCACCCCGTTCTCGCTCACCAGGAAGACGGGTCGCTCGTGTGGCTTCGCCGAGGAGAACTCCGGGCGCCGGAAGGTCGCCGAGCTGCCGCGGCGGCAGTGGTGATTCCCGGTGCCTCGGCGGCACGTCAGACCAACGCTTGCGGCGGCAGAATCTTCCGAGTCAACGAAAAGCTTGTTTAAAGCATGGAAAAGAAAGTGTGACTGAAGAATGTTGTGAAGAAAAGAAGAACTGGGTCTTTTTCATTGGCACCTTGTGGAATAAGCGCCTTTGGTCCGTTTCACCGGGGCAGGGCATAGCCCGCATGGCCGGAATTCGGGGATCCATGCAGTGCCGACGTTCCACTGCGCTTCAAACAGGGTCCTGAGTCCTGAGCATCAACGACCTGTAAGGCTGTAAGGTCTTTGTTAGGGGGATTGGGGAATGACCTAATCTACAACGCATTGGATTTTGCACGGAAATTCATCCATTCAGAAGGGAGTAGGGGGATGAGTGCAAAAAAAAACCTCAACGAAATGGCACTGATTGAACAAGGATCCTGGAACTACAACGTCATAATAATTGTGTAACATCTCTGCCTGTAAACTGGTACAATCTGGCGTTTCGTGAGCATACTACCATATAGGCATGATCTAAAAGAGAGCTGTCATCACCTCACCAAATGAAAAGGAAGAGCAAACAGGATGTGACAGACCAAAAGGCCCCAGCTTCTTGCAACCTGCACCCAACCACACAGCCATCACACAGCTCCGCTGCCCAAGGTGCGTTCACCGGAAAAGAGCGTGGCCACACTGCGAGTGCTACTCTCCGGCCTTGCGAGCGACCCGTCCAGAACTTGTCTCCCTTCGACTTCTCACCGACCTCAAACCTATTCAGACTTCCCCTCCTCGTCCTCCTCATCCTATCCCTGTCCATCGCTTCTTCTATCTTCATCCCACCTCACTGCCCGCGCCACTGGCGCGCTCTGCGGCCGAGAGAGGCCTCGCCGCCGCAACCGGCGCGCCGCGGCCGCGGCCGCCGCGCGCTCGTTGGGGCTCGGCGGCAGCGCGGCCTGGCGGCAGAGGTCCAAGATGTGCTGCGGCGCATGGGGCGCCAAGACGATGCGTCCAGCCATGGCGATGCGGGTGACGGCGAAGTCGATCGAAAAACGAGAGCCGGAGACGTTGAAAGGAATTGAAAGGAAGCTATCTGAATGGATGCAATTGAGTACATTGAGTGGGATCAGCGGATGCGTTGAAAGGCATCTTCCCTTGTTGGTGAGAAACCCCATGGCGCTGCTCAACAAGATCGAGATGGCGCAAACCGATCCGCCAAAATCAGATCCGCTCATGTGTGGTCTTGCTCACCGGACAGCCATACAGCTGGTCGGGCAAAGCAGGTCTTTTCATATCTTTGTGTTCCCGAAGCCAGGGCAGCTTCCAAGACATGTCAACGAAATGGCTCACCCACCAACATGATCATGAATTTTGGAAACTTTAGAACAGGAAGCTACTAGTAACAAGTGCCACGCTACTAGTAACAGGTGCCTTACTAGTAGTAACAAGATGCTATTAGTAACAAGATGAAGAGTCTCTAGTCTCTCGACTTTGGCCTGGAAGAATCCTTCTTGGATTCTCATGGGACGCGACGTCCACTCCCTGGCGACTCCCCAACAGACCCAGATTTAGCGATGGCATAAGCCCTGGGATTCCAACCACCAAGGCAACAGTCTTTACCGAATAACCATTAGTTTTACAGTTTTACTCAGGATGTTAGACAACACCAGGTCGACCCTTGTTTTAGTTGTCGACCTGAAGACCAGGGTGTTCGGACAGGTGTTCAGCCCGCTGGGCGCTCTTTTCGTAAACAGACAACGGCTGCCTCGGCAGCCCTGAGGCATGAACAACGACGGCAGCATTCTTCATTCCAGTGAAGACACCCTGGCAGTGAGGAAAGGCTCAAATCAGCACCAGAGGTCATCCAAACAAAACATAATAGGTTTCATCAAGTTGTTTCTTTCCTCCCTTGCCCACCTACATCTCTTGGTGAGGTGGGATGTCTCACCGATCAATGTCCCAAGTCTCCTTCCGAAGACAACCGAGCTGTCGCCCACCCTGCGCGCCCACGCGCGCGCCCGGGGTTTCCCGGCGCATGGCCTGGATGTGGAGGATGATCAGCAACAGAGCGGCCGCCGTCACGAACCTCTGCCGTGTCGGACGGACTCCCCCCAGACTCGCACGACACAGGCGACTCAAAAAGACCGCAGCCGGGCAGCCGAGTCGTTGAAACAGTCAGTCAGAATGATTTATGCAATGAGCACCCCTTAACCGACGCACCAAGAAAGATCACCTAGTAACAAAGGGCATCGCTACTAGGAGCAAGGACACTACGAACGGGGCTCCTGGCATCGCTACTAGGAGCAATGTTCGCACCACCATTCCTTCCGATTTCTTAATTTTAGGCCCCGAGACTCACGTCAGTTGGGCTTTCTGAGACTCGCCGATCCGCGGGTGGACGCGAGCCGTGCGTCGAATCGTGCGTGTCGGTGTGTCTCCGTGCGGACATGGAAGTGACTGCACTGTGCAAGACTGGTAGCATTCTTACTACTAGTAACAAGGACGCTATTAGGTGGAGGCCAAGGCCATCGCTACTAGGAACAAGAAGCTACTAGTAACAAGGGCATTACTACAAGAAGATACGAACGTAGCGATGCACTTGTTACCGGTTGAAGACCGCGATTCGTTTTTCCGGTGCTTCGACGCGGAGGTCACCGTCACCCGGGGCTCCGTGCAACTCGATGATCCGCACGTCCGCCACCCACCACCACCTGGGGTGCCCCCGAAACGTCCAACGAGTGGCCATCCGTCGAGCAACCAACGGGCTGGCTTAGCGGCGGTGATAAACATCGTTCGACCTCAGAAACCTCAGAAGCGAAGCAACTAGTAACAAGAAGCTACTAGTAACAAGTGCGTCGCTACTAGTAACAA